GAAATTATCATGTTCTGTTTACAGTGAACCTTGCTCTTTCCATGCTGTCTAGCAAAAAGGTAATCAGCTATAATTATAATCTAGTAACACAAGACTGTTTAATGAATATTGTACTTATAAGAGCATTGATAACTAGAGTCCAGTTGATTGAATAGATTCTAAGCTTCCACTGTCACTGATCATACAAGCTGTTTTTCATTTAGAATGTGACTGTTGGTCTTCTTGATGCTGATGTCTATGGACCATCCATACCAACCATGATGAACTTGAAGGGACAACCAGAACTTAATCAAAGTAAGGAACAGTATTTACTTCTAAGAAATGATTGTTAAGATAGATACAGGGTAAAAAATTAGCTCTCATAAATATGGACACAATGACCTGCGAATCTCAAGTTTAACCAGTCATTTATGACGTTCAAAAGAAAGACTTTGTAATTTGACAGCACAAACTGAACTTTTGACTGTATAGACATGCGCCTATTGATTGGCTTATTGTTTTGGAAAAATGTGAAAAATAGTGCTTGCTACACTCATATTATTGTACCATGACTTGAGAAATTAAAGTACATCTGTTTTATTTATAGAAAATCAAATGAAGCCCCTGATTAATTTTGGTCTCCCTTGGTAAGTTGTTAATAAAGTCAATTCAATGTGTTCACTAAACCATTGTCTACTCTGAACCCATAGTTAACTTTAGAAGGCTTAAAAAAACATATTTCAGTCATGGTCTGTTCTTTAGCATGTCCATGGGGTTTCTGGTTGACGATGGAGCTGCCATAGTTTGGAGAGGACTTATGGTAATTTTTAAGTAGCTATCTGTTCTTTTTAATTATTGTAAATCATAGAACATGGAAAAGTTTGGACATGTTTTTTTTATCTCGTCCCAGGTAATGTCAGCTATTGAAAAGCTCCTTCGTCAAGTAGCTTGGGGTCCTCTTGATGTCTTGTTGATTGACATGCCACCAGGAACTGGCGACACCCAGCTGTCCATATCACAACTTATCCCAGTGTCAGGTAATGCACAGAATCTTTGCTTGGAAACTAAAAAGCTTGACTTCCTCTGTGGGAATACCTAGTTTTAAGTAAGTGTAGTTCTTTGTAGGCGCAGTGATAGTTACTACTCCTCAGGACATTGCTCTTATTGATGCAAGGAGAGGTGCAGAGATGTTTAAGAAAGTTGATATACCGGTAAAACARACAAAAATAATGATTACATGTACTATGGTTATAATATGTTAGAGTGGCTTAAAAATGGTGGAAACTAGTGGCAAACTAGTGTGAGCTGCATTGTTGTTTCTAAAGAAACAGTTATATAAAAAGATAAATTTAACATGACTGTTAAAATGACCATATAAAAAAGTGTGGTTTAAACTTTGTTTCACAGATTAATGAAAACTACTCCAACTATCATTCCCTTAAAACCACCCTACAAATCCAACTTTTTTATTTTTGTTTGTGTTCGCAAAGTAGTAACAACATATATAGTTCTTCCAGGCGTGTTATCTTTAATATTCATAATTTACTTTCTTGGCATGTTAGGTCCTAGGACTTATACAGAACATGAGCCATTACGTTTGTCCAAACTGCCAACATAYATCTTATATCTTTGGTCATGATGGAGCCAAAACAGTAGCTCAGGATTTTGGAATAGAGATATTAGGTTTGTATTGATATTATATTGTAATTTCTTTTTAATTTGCAATACAGCACTAATTTGTGCAATTATTTAGTGACAAGTTACCGGTAATTAAAACTGGAGGGCTTACAACTTAAGGCCAGTTTACACTTGCAATTTTTTTCAGTGTGATTGTCGCGCAACCATCGCCTGAGTTTTGAMGTTGGAACATACTTGAAATTTAGTTGCAACTTTACGCGATTTCTGATTGCTGCAACAAGTGCAGGGCTGTTTGCATGTGCGATTTGAGCTGCATGATAGCAAAGTGACGATTGTGTTGCACTGCAAAAATCGCAAGTGTAAAAACGGCYTTTAAAAGGCAGCTGAAATGACAACAAGATGTGATGAATTAAACATCAGTATTCTAAAAGTCTTTCATSTGACCCAATGGTCCAACCCTCATTGGACTACATCCTCATGAATAAATAATGAGTATGGGTTAGCCTTAGATAACTTGGATGGATAGATACTTTATGAATATTTTTACAAAGCAGCCTGAAAGACTGAATAACTTGATGCCATAAGTCTTTATAATCCTTTCTTTTTAGGAAATATCCCYCTGGATATTCAAATCAGGGAAACATCTGATCATGGTCGACCAATAGTGGTCTCTCAGCCATCAAGCCCCCAGGTATAGCTTAAAATTAATTATCCACTCAGTGCCTCTATTGCTGTGTTGTTTTGATATTTTGAATGAACTGCGCCCAGCTGTTTGAATCCAGTCTTAAATTGTTACTTGCAATTTTTTAGGCTAAAGCATACATGGAAATTGCTGATAGAATTTTAGAGATGTTGCCTAGCTAGTAATTAGCTGTAAGAGTGTCGTCTTTAATGAGGACAAACTATAAGTCCCAATATGAAATGAAAGACCCCCAGGGATGCCAATGATGCAATAATTATTGGTGCAATGAATGCCAGAACCATGYAGTCCAGAACTGGTCAGATGGCAAGAAAATCTTCATGTACAGGTACCTGGTACAATATATCTCATGGAGAACAGTCATTGGGCATGATTACTGCTGTGCGTATTGCGGCATGAACTGAACAAAAGAAATTCCTCTGATGAATTCCAATATAATTGTTTTAACAATTATTAATTAATTAAAATTAGCATATGCACCAAATACACACAAATGATAATTGTCATTAAAACTTAATATATCTCTGTGTTGTCTTTTTCTTATGTGACTAATTTCTTTTTTTCTTTCGATTCTTTTACATCCTTTGCTTTATTTTTGGTCTTCCTGTGTGCGAGTGCGTACTCGTAACCAGTCKTSCTCRAACAYGAAACAGGCGAGGCCACTATAATCATATTTCGTAAGAAACTTGCCGAGAATTAGAGGGGTCCTTATCCTAACTTTCTCTTACAAAATTRTACAGTTTTATAAGAAAAATGATTTCAAGGTCGTCTATCGGTATGTTTAGAACAGCTTTAACTCTYCAAGAATTATCTCTACTTCAAAATATGCTGCGAAYTCGCCCAGTTACCATCGCTGGCTGTCGTCTCGCSACTGTCTCAACAAACACAGAAAACTCAGGAAAGAGTGATACGAATGCRGAAAGTCAATCAAGTACGGAAACTAGTGAGCTTAACGCTGTTTTACTTGARAAAGATCAGTTAATAGTCGAGAAGGACAAACTACTAAAAGATCTTCAGGTAAGCTTGTGTTATGTAATTATTTCGACGTGTTGCGTGTAGTCGTGTAGCACGCACGTGGATGACAAATCCTTTGTGACTAAATTATATAAAATCGTAAATGAATGGATTTTAATCGATATTTATTTTGAAAATGTACTGTATTTGTATCATTTTTGAGGACCAACAGGATTTCAAAAATTTGAATCGAAAATAGTTTTTTTTTAACTGAAAATGTATTTTRAAAACTTTGTAATGTACATGGTTATGATGCAACTTATTGTCACTTATATGAATTTTGAATTCTCTACATTTGACAGTATAGTGGATGCACTATATCTGTTAAACAAATTGCACTAAAAAACACACAAAATAAATGGATGTGCTCAACAAGACGTGTGCAGACTGCAACTTTTCCAAAACTTTTGAACAATGTACAAAGTTAACTCCAAACCTCACTGTGTCATCTTTTCACCAACTGTGATTGCAAACCTCATCTTTAAATCTTTCTTTATCAGGATAAATATCAACGTTCACTAGCTGAAAACCAAAATGTCATCCAAAGAAGTCGTAAGCTTGTGGAAGACGCAAAGCTTTTTGGAATTCAGAGTTTTTCAAAGGATTTACTCGACGTGAAAGATGTCCTAGAGAAAGCCACAGAGTCTGTGCCCAAAGAAGAACTTGATAAAAATTCACATCTTAAGAACTTGTTYGAGGGGCTGRCTCTCACTGAYATGCAGTTACAAAAAGTCTTTACTAAAAATGGKTTGGAAAAAGTAGATCCTATGGGTGAGAAGTTTGAYCCACACTCGCACGAAGCTGTGTTTCAGATCAGTGTACCYGACAAGGAGGATGGCACAGTAGCTTTAGTCCAAAAAATTGGTTATAAGTTAAATGGACGGACACTRAGACCTGCTATTGTTGGAGTCGTTAAGAATTAAGTCAACATCTAAACTAGTGGTCTTTGTAAAGCTTAAGTCAAATCCATGAATGGTTGATACTAATAAATTTCTTTATTAATTGTCCATGGATTTGAAAAGTAATTTCAAACTCCATTCTTGTATTTCATGTAATGTTTCAAGGCAAATAGCTAAGATGTGATGGGATTTCAAATGCCACAAAATTAGGACGCTTTCCATTTGTCAGAACTGGCTGGCCTGACCCAGAGAATATGTCATTATATATCATTCCTATTTAGTCGGGAAATTCACATTTTCAAATKCTATCCAATATTTTATAGAAAACCTCGAAATGACTGAAACATGTTGACAAAAAGCATAATATACGTACTTCTAAATAGAGCGGACTGGCCGGCCAGTTCTACCTAAATGGAAAGCATCCTTAGTACAGTAGGAGGGCGGCCAAATTGTAAACCTTTAAATAACTYCAAAACTCAATTAYTTGGAAGGGATCAACACCATAATTACTTGCCGATGYGTTAATCTAAGAACCTAGGAAAACTGTTTCCTCCCAYATGCCATATAATTTCAAGAACTATACTTCRGATTYCAAGTACCAGCTTTTTGTATAGTTTCTTGAGATCCTACATTGGCTGCTTATTTTGTGAATGAACAATGAGTGTTTTGAGTAAATTTTCAAGCACTTAGAAGTAATAACATTGAATTTTCTTATAATTTGAAAAACTAATCAAGCCTTTTATTATTTTTTGTTTTTACATATTGGGACATACATGTACTAATTTATTTGTAATACTTGTGATAATTCAATTCTATTATTTTATTATTAACATTTCTGATAATTATCAGATACACATAATATTATTATTGGCAAACAAATCTTGTGTACAGAAACATGTACAATACTTCATTAGTGTTATAGTACATTTTGAGGCTKTAAAGTGATACTTGTACATTGTAATATTGTTCAAAATAAAGACATAGTATCAAYGTGGTGGATTTGTGACACACTTTTCTTTCCATTTGCCTCATTTTAAAAAACAAAATCCTCAAACTTACCCTAAACCTAAATGTTAACTTACCCAATACCCTAATGATAAGCATTACTATGGCTGTCACCTAGAATTGTATTGTTTTGAAAGAAATAATTTTGGATGCCTGCAGTAAATTCACCAGTTTATTATGTACAAGTATAAGGAAAATACTTTGCCAACGAAGGTAGATAACCTGGTCTAAATTAAACTATTGACTGGCCACAATGAAGGCAAGATGGAGTCCACCCTGTTGCACCAGAAGTTAGCACAGGCTGAGTGGTACTCCCGYCCACCGTATCCAATCTTRGAGTCWGTTGCTTTGGTAACATTGAGAAGACAAAGTCCACATGCCACCATCTTATCGTCGTCTGCCTGGACATGGTGTTCAGTGAAGTTCTCTTTGATAGTRCTTGACTGCTGTTGGWAAAGATTKTTGGAAATTTGTRAAKATCTAGAAAAGATTGCCTTATAGTATTCAARATAAYACCAAATCAGAAAACAATCTTTAAAGGATTGTAGTTGGAAGATGTTTTAACAAAAAGACAAACAACAGCAACAAAACAAAAACGTGGAATTGGAGAAAAGAGAGAAAGGGATTGACCATTGAAAGAGAGGAATAGCTATTGATATTTCTTAGGCAAGACAAGAGTTTATTGCAAATCAGTTATAAAACTGATTTTTTTTAAAACACACCTCCAAGTTTGTCTCTTTCAAGAAGTTAGCAATGTTTCTCCATGTTTGATTGATCTCTTCCAAAATATCTTTCAGTTTCTCACTTAAAAAATCTGACAAAAGTAGAAGTTTAAAAGTGAATGACAAGAAGCTGAACATCAAAATGTGAGAGGTAATGGTTTAAGATGTTGCTAGAGAAGGGGCAGCTTGGCATTGATGATGACTGCACGGGAGACTAGGAGTTAGTGTTCAACTGGAGGTTTAATATTCATATTCACCTGTTTTTACAAGGGAAGCTTGTATTCGTTTTGTGACTCTGAAGACTTCTATTATTGCTGTAATGAATAATTTGAATATCAATGACAACAAAATCACTAGAAGGCATAATAATATCGCCTTGGTAGCTGCTCTAGGTTCCCCCTAGGTTTACCCCTTCCCCCCTCCCTTTCCGTTTTACCCCTTCCCCCCTCCCTTTCCGTTTTACCCCTTCCCCCCTCCCCTTCGTTTTACCCCTTCCCCCTCCCCTAGAGGCGCTACACAGGCTAATAATAATAGCACTAAGATGGTATTCAARTAAACCTTTAAAATAGTCCATTCCTTTCTTGGATTGTAGAATCTCTTGTTTGATGGTAGCATCAGACATGGTCTGCACTGCTAAAGCACAAGTTGCCATTGTCAAGAGGCAGGAGTTCAGGCATCTTCCCCATACATTACCATGTTGATCGGCATCCTTTATTGGAAAAGACGTACAATAAATCATCTACTGTAGTGAAATATTATAGAACATTATGTCTAGTCGAATATGTAGACAGTTGGCCACAACTTCCCTCCCTTGACCTTAGTTTCTGTGGAAGATTTTTCAATGAAGAATACCACTCGAGAATTGAACTTACCTCATCTTCACCACATAGTTGCTTGTATCTCTGAGCAGAATCTAAAGGAACTCCACTGGTAAAACTTGCTAAGGAACTTGAATTCTTGTGACTATCATCAAAATTTCCAAAACCACTGACATTTAYCTTARTAGTGCTCTGATTAGATGAAAAGAAGTCCATATTGCTACTTATACTAGGTGGAACAACACTAGACGGCTCTGAAAAATCACCAAATTCATCAGTGTCTACTTTGCCAGTAATATTAGGAGTTAGATTGAATTGTGCAAAAKTTGTGACTTCTTGACTAGATTGAGCAGAGGCAAAAGCATTCCAGTTATGATTGATATTTGAAGAGCTTGAGTCTTGAAGTGTGGATTCAATAGTGGTAGACTGGAAACCTCCAAAGTTATCATCTTCTTTTGATTCTGCATTTTCAAAACTCTCAAAATCCCCAAAGCTGTCRTCTTTCTTTCTGGACGGTATGGAAGAGGAGAAGATGCTACTTGTTTCTTCACTATTAATATCCCTCAACAAATCGTACTTATCAGATGGTCTTTCATTAGATGTGTTATTAAGTAATGCACTTTCCAAATTATTATCTTGACCTTTCTCATTAGGATTTTTAGTGATTGAAGTCATTAAATTGAAGTTTGCTAAGGCCGGTTTGTTTTCAGTAGTTGAAGCAGTGGTTAAACTACTCCAGTTGTCATTTAAGTTAGTGGAACTACCACTTTTTGACGCATTAACTGAACTTGGTGGCATTGAAATAGCAGGGAATGCTATGGTCTTGTCATTGTCTGTATTTACTGTGTTTTCAGCCAATAAAGCAGTCAACTTTGAGTCTTTTTTGCTATTTTGAGCTGGTGTAACTGAAGAAAACAATGAGTTCTCTGTTTTCAGTTTGAAGCTTTCTAAAGACGAAGCTAAAGTTGTCGTACTTTTAAGTTCAGCAAATGTATTTTGGGAGGACAATGTAGTTGTGTCCACACTTGACGTTGRGCCATGGAAGTCTCCAAAATCATCATSTTCACCTACACTGGCACTTTGAAATCCTTGAAATTCTGGTGAGMTTGACAATCCTGGCTTTAATTCTGCTTCTTTCAAGGTTGTTGTGTTTTGAATTCTATGCGATGTTGTTTGAGAGCTTGTGAGGCCTAATAATGATAATAAAAATACTTATCACTGAGATTGGTGCTTATTGATTAATGGTAAATTACTTATTTATTCCATTCATTACCTGGAATTTGACTAGACATTTGTGCCCCAAGTATAGATGTTGAYRAGCCTAAAGTAAARKCAYTCTGTCCAGGCATTTGTCCAGACACAGACCAACCAGTAAAGCYACCAAACTCTTTGSYAGTAGTAKTAGGTTTCAATGCTTYGGTTTTTGCTGCGTAGTCTTCATTTGAGTGAAGTGTACTGCCTGGTTGACTGACAGAAGGGATGGAAGTCTTCTCGACAATAGAATCTTGCTGTGTGGTTTCTTTCTGGAAACTCCAGCTAYCTTCACTTGGCTGAAATATAAAATTAAGTACTGTACATCTTAAGAAAAAATGTTGTTTGAGAAAAATGTTCCTTTTTTTTAAGTCATCACATTTATTAGGTTAAAAACAACATCAGAAACATATTTCTATTGAGTAAAGATACCCTTTGAAAATTAGTCCTGCCAAAGATAAGCAACCAAGTCTAGCAGTTCCCAGTGTTTCCTAACCCTGCAATACCATCTGAAAACTATTTATTAATGAATTAATTGTATGAAATGATACTTTACCTGTAGAACATTCTCAGGAATTGTTGGTATTGGTGCTGACTTGCATGTTGATAGCTTCTCCAGCGTGAGTCTTTCTACTTTTAAACCAGTCTAAAGTTATACCATGCAAACTGATCACTACTGCGGTATACATGGATTAACAAGGTCAATCACCTGACCAAATAGTTGGCTCTTATTGGACTAATTATTCTCATGAATTATTTATGAGTCTTATAAGGATTAGGAAAGCGTAAACTATTAGCCTGATGATGGTTTTGCAATAAAACCGAAATATTGCTCTCATGTAATCTCCTATTCTATTGGCGATGTTGAATATCAACTAGAATGAATATATTCGGTCTCTCATTCATCCTATTCTACCTAAAACTGTCAGCTTGTCCTGGATTATAAGGATTATTACCTGTCCTAAGGCAACAAGTCCCAACACCATTCTAAGCTCCAAATCATTGAGCTGCCCAGGTGTGGCTTTGTTTGCCCTGTTCCATATCTGACCAAGTATGTCCCTTTGAAGTTCTGATGCCAGTAGAATGGGATAAAGAGAACCTGAAACACATACAAGAAAAATGATTTTTGAACCTTTACAGCAGAAACCGTTGTATCTGGACTTCAATGTCCAAAAGAAATCATTAGGATTTAGATTTTCTGTGACTTTGGTGCAGAGCTTGCTTCAAATCAGCCAATGATTGAATGAGTTTACAAAATTCCACCCCTTAGATCCAAGGAAAGAACAAAATCAAAACAAACAATGCAACGATTTTTACTGTGAAAGGCAATAAGAACAAGGACATGCATTATTTTTGTAGCAGGTCTGTTTTGATGGCACAATGATCAATACCTGTGTCAATGGCGCCATTTTTTGTGGCAGCTTCTTTAACATCTTTATACACCCCTGGRAGGTTCTTGTCTTCCYTRCACCACTCGGGAATCGTAATTCCATACAGCCTCTGTAGTTTTTCCTCTTCTGATTCTTCTTTTTCTGCAAGTATAGTTACATTGCTTGCATTACTGCATGTTACTTATAGTATATCAAAAATTTAACAATGTTGGCATTGTTAAAAAGATAGGTTTCAATGAATCCAATTATATTCCAACTTCACCTTTTGTGGTGGTTTCAAAAGATCACCATCTTACCCTCAATGTCTGGGCAGTCGTTACCAGGAACATCAACTTGTCCAGAAACTGGCTGATTGGAAAATGCTTGACCAGGAACATTGACTTGTCCAGGAACTGGTTGATTGGAAAATGTTTGACCAGGAACATTAACTTGTCCAGGAACTGGCTGGTTGGAAAAGAATTGACCAGTTATTGCTGGTCCTTCTGACAAGTTTCCAGACATCCTGTGCTGTAAGCCAACAAAATGTGGTACAGGTGGCTGCCCCTGTCGACCATCATTAGGAAAGGACTGGTTTGGCATAATTAGTTGCCTATCTTGAAAGGATGCTGTGGACTGTACTCCAGAACTTGTACTAGATGAAATACTAGATTGACTATCTGTTCTTTCTCTTGGCATAGGCTCACTAAACACATGTGGCGAGTAATGTGCCRTGGTGATACTACCATTGGAAAATGCTTGTGCAAAGGACATCTAATCAAAGCAAAAACTTTGAATAAGTAGTGACTGCATCGTCAATTTATTTGTTGGTTATCTGTTCCCATGTTTTGTTGGTTGATTAGTAGTTTGGTTGGTTGGTTGATTAGTAGGTTGGTTAGTTTTTTGGTTGCATGGTTTGTTGGTGGGTTTGTTTGTTTCAATAGTTACAGTAGTTGTAGTTGATTGACAGGTTGTTTACTTGATCATTAACTTATCAGTTGGTTGAACAGTACCAAGTCTGATCACATTTCATTCTKCATACAAAATGCAACCAAGTGCATGTGTGGCAGTATTTCCAGGCAGTACCTTTTTCCCTTTACATACCTGATTTACTRCTGGACTACCATGCTCACTAGAAATACCAGTATTTGTACCAGAATAGCTTTGCCAGGCAATACCATGACTCCCAGGCTGACCAGGCATTGATTGATTTCCAGGCTGCAATGACCATCCAGTGTTCTGATTGGTAGAAACACTAGTAGTTTGACTGGAAAAAGGTACCTGTGCTTCCTGGAAATCACTGAATTCATCATCATCAGTGGCTTGACCACAAAACCCATCACTTGTCGCTATTCCAGGACCTGTTAAACCATGTGGTTCAATGGTAGGTCTTCCTGTGTGTTGGCCTGTAATGTCTGATTGGACAAGTTGGTCTTTTTGTTGTTTCCATTCTGGTTGTGGAGGGTAGGATGTTCCAGGTCTCGCAACTAAAGATAATAACAAATATAGTAGTTTTCATTTGACTGTAAAAGATTAGTGAGACTAATAGTTGGTATTGCAAACTCTGAATCTAATGTTTTCTTTTGTTTTCTTTTGTTTTCTTTTGTTTTCTTTTGTTTTCTTTTGTTCTTTACCAACAAACTAAATAGTTATATGGTCATTGTACACTTACAGAAAGATCTACCAGATGGAGTGCCAACCTGAGGCTTCAGTGCAACTTGTTTATCAGTACTACGCTGTGCTAATGAACCTATCAAATGGGACAGATCACCACCGCCGCCTCCTTTTCTTTGCCCTCCTCCTAATTGCTGCAAACGCTTTTGCTGCATTTCAAAATCTCTCTTTTTACGCAGCTCAATTTCTTTCTTTTGTTGTTCTTGGGCAATCTTTTGCTGTTGTTCAATCATCTTCTGGTACTGTTGTTGTTGTTGTTGTTGATATTGTTGCTGTTGAAAGTGTTGCTGTTGATATTGCTGTCGTTGTTGCTGTTGTTGATATTGTTGTTGATATGGTTGTTGAGGCTGCTGTTGAATGTACATCTGCTGTATTTGAGGTCTTGGTATGTTGCTAGCAAATTGTCCAAAACTAGCCTGGTTTGCCTTGAAAAAACAAAACAAAAAAANTTACGGTCTAGCGATCAGTTGTCAAGCCAAAGAAGTCGGTAACTATGGGTCCTTTTTTGCTCTTTTTGGAAAGAAATCAGGAGAAATAAGTACTAAATAAGGTTATTTAGACTTAAAATGAGCGATTGGAATGATGTTTTTTTAATTTTTCGAAAATTTCGAAAATACCCTAAATCGTCACTTAAGTCGTTTTCGCATCCGCCCCTTCAATTGTTGCCTACATGTACTTGTCTAGAAAAATTCTGCCATCAATTAATAGTTATTTTTGCTGCTAAGTTTTAATGGCAAATAATTTTCCCCTTTTCATTTTCGGGAATTTTGGAGCGATGTTGCCTGTTGCCGGCATAACTTGTAGGGCCTCAGGAATCCAATAATATGGAAGTTACAAGCTTACCGACAAGCTTACCTGCATCTGTGGAGGCTGTGGATAGCCAGCATTCATCGGTGACTGTTGGAAAGGCTGACTTTGGAATCCTTGACGAGTAGGTATCTGATGCATTCCTACGGATATGTCATTATGACAAGAGAGATTTTAACTCTTCCTTCTTTTCTCCATCTTATGACCTTTCTGATWGGTCATCACTTGCCCGATATCGACCGATTCTAATCGAATAAACCTATCGATTTCAATTGGTATCGACTCATCGATAGGAAATCGATCGATGATTCATAAATTTCATCAGATGCACACAAAATCAAAGCTAGCAATTGAAGAACAATAATAATAGCAAATAAAATGCATTTTTATTTTATTTGCTGCATTGGATCGCGCCTGAGAACTCTCCGAGACAAGCTTATTTTCGATGTCTCGCCATGAAATCTGATTTTGATACGACTAACCTGCCAAATTTTGACCAATAAATCCAGGAAATTGCGGTCTTTGATTGCTGTTCCCACCAAAATTGTGATCCATTTTTAAAAGTATAAGTAAGTGTTCCTTTCGAGCAATTTATGTCTAAATTTTGTATGAAAATGAAAATGTACGAGCAGCCATGTTTGTTTGATGTTGGCAGATGCATTGTGGGTAAAAACACAGGAGGCCCAAAGTCTGAGGTGGTTTTTCCCTTCCTCTCTCTTCCTTCCTTTCTTAGCCTTTTCGCCCTTTTAAGATTTAACAATTTTATATTATTTATGTTTTTAAATAATAAAGGACTTATCCATGTTCGTTATGGACAAAAAACAATGAGTAGTGAATTTTATCGGGGTATTTTAATCTTCGGTACTGAAGTACTTCACTTGTATTTTGTTTGTTTGTTTGTTTGTTTGTTTGTTTGTTTGTTTGTTTGTTTGTTTGTTTGTTTGTTTGTTTGTAGTAGTAGTAGTAGTAGTAGTAGTTGTTGTTGTTGTTGTTGTTGTTGTTGTTGTTGTTGTCGTTGTTGTTGTTGTTGTTGTTTTTTGGAAATAGCTACAAATCACCGAAGCTATTAGCGCATGTAGACTACGTGTTATGTGGGGCTGAAAGGCTGCTAAAATCATAGCAGTGGTTTAATTATTAAGAAATATTTTGTATGGAGCATAATATATACCACGAAGGATCGCAGAGACTAGTACGACCCAGAGGAGACTTCTTGTACTGGCATTACACGACAAGCTTTAGAGCTCTTCATCGCCATTCCACTATAGTCAGGAGAGATGAGGGCACCCAGGGATTTCATTAGAAGCCGGCAACCGGCAAAATCTACATGAATCTAGCGTCTTTGGCCGTTTTGGCCGACTTCYTATACCAATTTTCAGTTGTAGCGCTCGTGGTCCCCCCCATGATTCACAGACAGTTCTTTTTTACGGAGCAAAATTCAATTAAACACCTTTGACACCAGTCCGTGGCAGTGCGCASTGATTTTATTAATGTACTTATAAATCAATGTAAACAAATTTACTGATCTTCTTTCATATTTGTTTATTTTAATGGTTATATATATGATTACAATTTGTTGTGAAATGGGGGACAGTACGGCGTAATATAGGTTCTTTTCTATGAAGTTGCCTCCCCTGGAAAACCAATCCCCCTTCCGCAAGTAAGGTTCTGTTCTCTCTTAGAAAGCATTAGCAACTTAGATAAAGAAACAGAAAAAGTGGCCTGCTTGCAGAGGAGGCTAAGTCTCCTCTTGCTATAGATGCTTGTCCTTCTCCATGAGGTTTGCACTCAGCCCAACTTTGATCAACCAATGTAATGAAACTGCAGTCCATCCAAAGAAACCAAATGGCATGAAAGCGGAAACACAGCGGAATCGAAAATGCACGAAAATGTCRTGTTGTTTATTGCTTAAGTATACAGCAAGTAATTATGAGTTAAAGGTAGGTATTGTCATTATGATAACTACCTTCCATGTCCGTCTCTAAACAGTTTATTTTGGGCAGAGCCAAAGWKGACWGGCCCAAAATRTCAAGATCATTTAAGCGGTCTTTGGAGCTGCAAATATGATTGAAGTCTGKCTTGGTAGTTCCATTGTTCCGGTGAGTSGAYTGGGTGGTCATAGTTTCTTGGCTTAAGCTCTTGACGGAGCATATGTGAATTGCAATACCGCTGTCCATATCTGGAAGCTCACTCCGCTTGGCGCTTGATGAGATACTCCTGGTTGGGGAATTGGAGGAACGTTTTCTCTTTAGGGTGGTGAATATCCTTGCACAGGAGTTTTTGAACGCACGGTTCCTGGAATATGCGAATAGTTATTAGTAATAATAATAATCATACCTTACTGCGATAATAATCATTAGAAATCGATATCATCATCATTAGAGACTGCGCAATGTTTACGCTCTAACGACAAACCCCCCCCCCCCCCCCCCCCCCCCCCCGCCGCCGTCCCCCTCTTCGCGAATAAAGGGCTGTACGCTTTTCTTGAGAAGTTTTCCACTTCATGAATAAGTATTTTGCCAAAAAGCACAGAATCTGACACCGTTATTTTTTAAGTTTCCAATTAAAGTTCCAGTTAATTTTAGACATTGCCCCCCTCTTTTAGCACATAAAATTAGATTGTGCCCCCCCCCCTGGATTCTCAACCCCTCTCCTGATAAATATTGCGCTGTCTCATCATTATCATTACCATCATCATAGTCATTTTATTAATGTCATCAACATCACAATCGTCTCTACCACAAACTTTTACATAAGAATTGCCTATTGGTTCAGTCAATAGATGAAGGGGAAAATAGGATAAAAATGGACTGGACTGGATGTTTGAGGAAATACTGGATAATGGAATCATGTTCTACGTACCTGAAAGAAAAGAGAAAAGGGTTGAGCGCAGAGTTCAGATATCCCAGCAAAAGTAGCGGTGGGTAGACGTGTGGTGGAATGGAATAAAAATCTTCATCAGATAACATATTCGACACGATGGATAGCGTGCTATATGGAATCCAACAGAACATGAATACRCACACAAACATCGAGATGGTCTTCGCTGCTCGGACATTCTTGAGAAAGTCTTTCTGCAAATTTTGTCCACTGCTAGGCCTTCCGCTGAATTTCTGCAGAGGTTGAAGTTTCGCGATCTGGTAGATCTTGACGTAGATGCAACACGTGACTAGTATGGGAAGGACAAAGTTCACCGATGCATTGACCATGTTGAATAAAGGTGGCATCGGAAAGTAGCACTCGTTCTTATGTACAAATGGCAAATGGTTGATGATCTTGGCCGTTGGCAGAATTGCTATTGCAAAGCAATACAACCATATCACCATGACAACAATGATCGCCCTCTTGCGGGTCATGAAGCGAGATCGTCTGAATCTGTTCAAAGGATCACTCAATGTTTTATAACGGTCCACGCTGAGCGCTAGTAGTGTTAATATAGAGGTCGGTACCGTGAGAAGATAGGCTACAGTCCACGCCTTGCACATGATTTCCCCATGATGCCACACTCCTGAGGTTATGAGAATCTCAGCGTCGAATGGCATTGCTACTGTGCTAGTGATTAAATCGGAAATAGCAAGGCAAAATATGAACGTGGTGGTCGGCGATCGCCGTAGTTTGGCCGACATTCCTATTGCGCAACACACTAAAAGATTACCAAGTAGTGATATTATTATAACTACGATGTAGAGACCGGCAAAAACGTAGCCGTACAAGGGCTCGAAGTTGCGCAGATGGACGTCTTTGTCTGTCTGGTTATTTGTGCCATTTGCCATATCTGGTATCGTTTAACAGTAATTCTCGATGGCTGGATGCCTTTTTAGCCTTGCACAAAGTTTTTTATCTGTTGTTGCAGTACGAAAACCACAGTTATCTAACGCTCTTCAAAGGCAATGCCGTCTGCCTTCTTAGATTATTTGTCTTTGATTTGAAGTTGTTTCTGAGCGTCTTGTTTTCTGTTTGTTTCAAGTTAACCAGCTGTGTTGGGGTGTCTTGATATGTGGCGAAAATATCCGTTGATAGCTGACTCTTATAGCTTAGTTTTCGATTACGCAGCCGCAGTATCTGTAGATCTTGCCCTGAGGTTCTGGCGACTTCGTGATTGGTCTTAAAAGGGTTTTTCCAAGGCGTTGGTGTTTATATCCTTTGACGAAACAAATCTGCATTTATACGTTGCTGTTCTTCCAGTTGTTTTCCCGCAAATGCAATGTATTTGTTTCCTTAACAAGACATCATGGATGTTGTTCTTTTTTGAGTGTTTACCCAACTCACAAAGTGTCTGCAAAGAATGAATTTTCAATGAGTTCGGCTCAAGTAGTTTTCTTCCAACAATCCAATGCCCCGTCTTCCAAAGTCACGTCGAACCAGAATGACAACTGTTCACTTTATAATGCAGTCACTTCTTCTTTTGTTAAGTGATTTACTATCATTTAAGCCCGAATGGTCAACACTGTCCAATTGGATGGATTAGTTTTCAATATATGTCCACGTTCTCTTAGAATGTAAACGATTAAGCGTTATTACTCTTCGATAAGATTAGGCGGGAAATGGAATATAGTTCACATACACTTGTTTTTTTTTTCTGTATCTTCCGTAGTATTATCGCTAAATCTGAGTGTTCTATAGATTAAAAGGATTTAATGCTAAGAAAGGAGTCTTCCACGACTAGAATCTTATCTCTGCAAGGAGTAGGAGTTTGGTTGTATAGTCATGACGTCTGCTTTGATGGTGCTGTCGACTTGTTTTGATTGGCCAGAAAGCTGGTATAAGTAGTTAAGAGAACTAGAATAAAAAAAATTACATTATTAACCATCTGTCTGTATGAGGCGTATAAAAAATCATTCGTTGATGCTAGATATTATATAAACATCTGCCTAGGTTGATAGTTACTGATCATTTCCGAAGAAGCCATAGGCTGATGCGCGGATAACAACAAAACACAGCTTCCGAAGTTTGTATTCTTTTGTATTATACCAGTGATTGTCGATCAAACAGAATATTGCTTTATCGTGGTTTTTATTTTTCATCGAAAAATTTTTTTTCTAGACGTTCATAATACTAGCTGGAGTAGCACTACTCACTTCAAACCTCTCGTATCATGTACTCCCTCAGCTTAAGCCGGTAAATTGAATAAATTCATTTAGGGTTGGCTAGTCTATTTGAATTATTTAATTTACAGTCATCCGCTTTTTAAATCGATTTAGAAAAAAAGGAAAAAAATAGACAGAAATAGATTTAATTAACACGAATCGACCAATTTCAAAATACAGTCAACTCTTGCCTTACGGACACCCAGCTACAACGGACGACCTCGATATTGCGGACAGTAAAATACTGAATCCCCGGCGAAAAATACAGAGAAATGACTGAAAGTAACTCTCGTTACTACGGACTGTCGCTACTGCGGACACTAATTACGTCCCCGAGGGTGTCCGTAATAGCGAGAGCTGACTGTATTTTTCGCCGGGGATTCAGTATTTTACTTTCCGCGCGCGTCGAGGTGTCCGTTGTAGCGGGATGTCCGTAATAGCGAGAGTCGAGCGCTAATTTGCCGTATAGCAAGACTGTCGTTGCCGTATACCTCTGCGGTAGCCAAAGTCGCGCCGGTATCAAACCTGTTTCAAACTTTTTGAAATCACTGCACACCCAGGACTTGCCAGGTTATGTGGGCGCGACTGTGAGTCGTACCCAGTCTTCAACTCTTTTTCGCAGTGATAAGGGAACAAGACAGATAGACAATTTAAATTGGTGTTTAGAGCCCAAAATGATGTAAATTTGATGTAAATCATTTACATCACATTAACATGATTTTGGACATTTACATAATATTTACAACTTTAATATTTAACCTTTTAAAGTGCGCGATTATTTTTTCCAGTGTATTCATTGCCATTATCCACATAAGTACAAGTGCGCATATAATTCAAATGAAAATAATTGAAGTGTAATCTTTTCTGTTTATTTTTGTTTGGTTTAGATCGTTTTGAAAAGCACTTATCAAATCGAAAAGATATTCAAGATTGCGGGATTTACACACATTATTGTTTGAAAACCAGATGCATCAACCTAGACAACTTTAGCTTAATTTGGCCTGGAAAAAATCGCGCACTTTAAAGTTGTAAATATGATGTAGTTTAAAATCTTGTAAATTTGATGTAAATCATTTACATCACATTTACAGAATTTTGGACACTTACATCATATTTACATCAAATTAACAACCTTCAAAGTGTGTGATTTTTTCCATGATAAGCTTTAACTCTACGCGGGCATTTCTTTGATCCTTTATTTTAATGATGAAGTTTTTCTTATTATTGTACGGCTGACACCCTGAAGATGTCGGCGCACTGCGAAATCTCTGCAAACAAACTAATTTGCCGAGATTGATGTATCTGAATCTACAATTATGAGTTAAAAGTATATTTTGTTACTGAAGAGAAGTGCAATATGCGTAACCGCAAACCCTTATGCACACCGCCAAACCCGCCCCTAACCCCTCGCYCCCTCAATTTGCGCGGCACTCTCATCGTTTTTGACTGACAAGAGAGAGATATATCACTAGATATACATGTATTCACAACATAAGCGCTGCAAATCCTTTGATTACGATCAGTGTTTTTATGGTCTCGCTTAAATTCCATTTATTGTTATCTGTCTCGACTATATTAAGTCATTTCCTTTTTTTTTTGAAATCCTATATTTTGTTTACATATTTTATTGAAATAACAGATTAAGCGAGGGGCGAATTTCAGTTTTGGGTTTCTAGTGGTCTTATCTTTGAAAGTACATTGAGAGTAAACTGTTTATTTTGAAGTTGACTGTATTTTTGGATAGCTAGCTAGGCTGGTGCGCACGTGCACTAGAACTCGATTAATTGCGGCCTCCAAAGTTAAAAGCAAGCAACACCTAAAACTTGGAGGTTTTGGTTTACAAACCTGAGGCGACSTAAGGTTTTTCAAACTATTCTCCTCGAAAGAATGTTCGTTATACACTACATAAACTTTCACAAGAACTGAACTCATTCGCATTTCACAAAAAAAAATTAAAGTTTATTTGGTTTTTGTTTGTGTGTGCGTGTTTTTTTTTGTTTTTGTTTTTCATTTCTGAATATTTAAATCACACAATCTTTTATTGCTTTAAAAAAGCAATAAAGCTAAGTAAATRTCATTGCGACAGTCTTCTTGAGAGATGCAATGATAAGTAACTTTGTTTTAAAAGCAATCAGTGCTTTAGTTTGTACAAAACAATCCCAATATAGGGTCGTTTGCTCGTTTCGTCAACATCGCTAGCATTTGAAGCCGAGGCCGGTTTCAAACCATGCGTTTTATAATAAGTTAACCGGATAAAGTTCGGTCATCCTTGGTCACCGTTCCTGGACAGCATATTTTCAAACCTGAAAGTTCCGATTTTTTYGAATCATTTATCAATTGTAAACGTTTTCAACTCCAGTTTCCAATGCAGCATAAAAAGCCAATTTCAAACGAGAAATCTTTGATCACCACTACGAAACATTATTCACACTAAACTTTGTCCGGCAGGCGAATTTTTCAAACAACATTGATCGCCGAGACTATCGAAATCGCTGATTTCTAAACATAAATGTGCGCTACTGACGATCATATTCGCTGGCGATTGACAATCGCTTGTACTCCAGCGTACAAWCTCGCCTTCTTTACGTAAATTATGTACAAATCATTTATGTAGTCTATAGCATACCTTACTGACTGCACAATAGAGCTAAAAGGCTTCCAGTATAGTTGGTGATGTCCCAATGACAAGACTAAATGACAAGATGTGGGTGTCGCTTTTAAAAGTCTATTAACCCACGCTTTAACCTTTGCCATTAGTTAATTTTGACCTCGTATCGAAATTGCTTCCAGGATTGCTGGGGATTTGAGATTTTAAGAGGGTTGCAATGGAAAGCATGATCTGTTYGTTGCTTGGGCGTGTGCATTTGACTGGGAGTGATGGATGGACGGACTGATTGATTGCCACTACACTCAAATAGTCGATACGAGATGGCAGTCAACTTAATTGCTCAAGTACTTTTTAGCCGTAATATATATATTCTTAATCCATCCATTTTCTTCTAAACTCAAAGTAAACAAATATCGATCAAAGCCAGATGTGGGCTACTGATCATACATGGCTCAGTCACGTTACTCTTTAGCGCGCTTTTCATCTATAGACAAACTGGCCGTTTTGACGTTTTTGACAAATCCGTACGAAAAATATATATTACTTGACAATGCATCATTACATGTCCATCAATAGAGCAAGATACTTTTGCAAGATGTGATTAAAAACAGAATGTTTGTTTTTTTATGTTTTTTGTGTTAAAAAGAGAGTAAGACACAATAGTCAACTTTAGATATTTTTGGTTCGATGACTATGTACAAAAGAACGCACACGAGGCTCCGGGAAAACAATGGATAATCTTGATTTATTCTTTTATTTCCCCGGAGCCTCGTCTGCAATTCTTTTGTGCATGGTCACTGAACCAAGATATCTAAAGTCGGCTATTCGTTTTGATACGAGACGTTTACGGTGTGCAATGTGAAGAAGACAGGTAAAATGGGTTCAAATGCGCATGCTCGATAAAGATAGCGCGATATTGCTAAATAAAGTAAACTGAAGTTTAGTGATTAAGCACTTTTGCTTTTAAAGACCTTTATATAGATATCGTTWATCAAAATTCATRAMCTCTTAATTATAAAATGAGACCCTRACTATATTGGRTCTGCATATCGTGGYTAGGATCTTTTAGATCCCGATAAACTACTGTCGAGCATGTAGTAATAATCAGTYTTATCAGAAATTCAATTCCTATATCAGATATATAAGTTTGATATGCATTTTTACATTTTTTATCTTTTATAGCGATTAAACTGGGTATTGGATCTCTCGCCTGCGGCTCGAATCTAGACATCGCCCGCATAAAACATGCCCTCKAGCTCTATACGAYGMGTAAAGCTCTTTAGATAGAACGAGCTCGGAGCCCGGATACGATAATTGARCGTAGATATAAGTGTATCGTGTAAGAGCCAACATGGTTGCTTAGCAAAAATAAGAAATTATGATTTACTAAATGAAGTACTAGTCCTTCATTTTTGAATCTTGATAGCAGATATGAAAAATTGCACGGCGATACAGCAATTCTTTGGATATAGATTCAGTTTGTCGCGTGAACAGTTTCAAATGTATACTCGTGAATATGTTGTTAGAGTTTAAAAACAAGTATAATTTTGTGAACTTACCGTCGCAACCACTTTCGGATGACAAATTCTAACAATGAATGTCTCGTTCGATGTCTGAAAATCAAATAATTTTGAGCAAAAAGCTTGCYTTATGAAAGGTTATATCTCTTCGAAATATAAGCTCTGTTCCTAACGCCTTCCTTTAAGTATATTGATGTCAGAAAAAAAATCGCGCGCACTGTCAAATCATATGATTCCTAACGTCTTATATCTATGAGCTTAATCACGTATGTAGAATTAAGTTGTTATTGTACAAACAATGCGCTATACGTAGATCGATTAKATTAATGAGAAAAACAKAAGTGTTACTCTGTACAAAATGTTCCCTCCAAATTCACTGCGGTACAGATTAAAAGAAAGTTTAAAGAAACAGTGACGAAATATAAATGGCAATGAAAATAATCATCATTTTAAGATCGTTTTATATTCATTCTACTGATTAAGAATCTCTTTAAGTAAAAATTTAGGCACTCTGCAACGTTGACTTTAATTGTGTTAATTCCTAGTTGCAAAGTACAAAATAACAATAATGATAAACACCGACAAACAGCTTGAATTCTGGAAGTAATTAAAACGTTTTGSTTCGGTTTCTAAACATGAACTATTTTTTTTTCAGTATTTTTTCTTTGGCTTAATTTGCTCGTGGCGGTCCTGACAAAAGCAAAACATGCCATTACTATTGTATGAATAATACGGAAAATATAATAGCTATTCAAAATTAAGACTAATTTCTTCGGTTCCTTATCAAAAGGAAGCCCTTTTTACTTTTCTTACATTTTCTAACAATTTTTAAAATGGAGTATAGTGGCCATGGCGGCCATATTGCTTTCTATCTATAACGATCCTGTAAGTGCATGAAATCCTAATAGACGTCATTCCAAAAGTTCAATGAAATAAACTTTGAGGTTTTCTGAGTCGTTTTTGCACTTCACACTGTACTTGGAGAGCACTGTGCATTTAGACWTCCTAGTAGGCAATCAGCGTGCATTTAGACATCCTAAGGCAATCAGTGATATACCATCAGCGCATGACCTCCCCAGGCATTTTCCACTCTGAAATTAAATGCTTCCGATGGCAAATTTACGGAGGAACTGACGTGGCATACCATGCTCAAAGAGCTTTTAATAATTTTTTTTAGCTAATTTAATTGAAAAAGCTTTATACACAARCATTAGCCTATCAAATAAGAATATATTAATAAAGAAAATTGAGTGTTTAGAAAGAAAATTAAATAAGCGAATTGAACAAAAATATCAATACACTCAAATACTGATGAACTTAATTCTTGCTTTGAGATATTGAAACGTTTTGTTTGCTGCTGAAGTACAGTGAATTACGTAGAAATATTAGGAAACGGACGTGGTTTATTTTAATAAAGTTTAGTCTTGCTRAACTGACTTCTTTAAATCGAAGTACCGTCGTCATCATATATAATCAGAACAAATTCCTTAGTTGACGTCACTTCATTTGCATTTTAAATTTTCAAATGTCTATAACTCGGAGAATAGAAAATACAACTCAAAATCTATTTCTTTCTTGTTTCAGATAAATGTGGTTTTCTAAAGGCTGATTTACACGGCACGATTGTCTCGTGCGACTTGTAGTATACGACTTGAATCGCGCAGTGCAAATGCCCCTACGACTTGTCTACAACAGTCGTACGCAACCTACGACTTGTAGTAGGGTTTTGAACCACTGCTTAAAATCCTACGACTTGTAGTAGGAAAATCGTATACTACAAGTCGCGCGCGACAAATCGTACCGTGTAAATCAGCCTTAAAAGGTGTCATATGGCACTTTGAGAGAGAGAGGCAAAGTACATGAGTTTATTATCCTTATTGTAAAAATCTGAGTCAATAAAGAAAAATTCACAATTCGCTTTAGACTTTGCAAGGAATTAGCCGAGCATTAGGAAAATCTCAAAAAATGTGCTATCTAAAAGTTATATTGCCTCTTATTTCTTGAACGCAGTTTTGATTAAATAATGATTTTTATCCTAAACCAGGAAGGGATTACTGAATGAAACTTACCCCAAAGCCACTTTCTCTCAAACCAAGGTAACTCTTTCAATGAGGCGGTCTGTTTCAAGAGATTTAAGATTGTACTTTTGATACAAAAAGTACAGGTGATCTTGGAGGAGAATGTGGATTTGGGAATCGACTAGACCGATTAAGCTTATCTAAAACGTTCTAAAGCCAAAAGCATGAAAGACCAAAAGCCAATAATTCCAACTCGCGAAGGCGTCAAAATAGCTCATCATCCGAGTGTGTCAAGAAACTAGACGACTATGTTGACGTCTATAGAACACGATTTTTAAGTTTTGCTGATTAAGAGTAATTTTCGCCTGCAGGAATGAGATGGGAAGATATGATATTTTGAAGGGAAAACCCGAATATTTAATGTGCACGTTACTCGGCGCCATGTTGGGCGAAAATAACAAAGTTTAATTTCGTTATTAACCATTATCATTTAGTATCCAACATATGGTGGCGATAGCTTTGGCCTTTATCATTCACGGAGTCCTTGGTCCTCCATATTGAACGGCGGCGATAGCTTTGTTGTTCATTTCAACAAAAATAATAATTAACTTATTTTTCAAGAAAATTACGGACTATAAGGATTGTGGGAATGTATAGCATTTTCGGAAGAATGCGGACACTGCTTTTACATGAAAACTTGCATTGTATATGCAAAACGAGTGATATTTTGATAAATTGGCTTTAATTACCCATCAAATACATGCATTTTTTACTCTTTTTAAAATTAAAGTTTTCACGTTTTTTTAAAAATAGTTGTCGTTTTGGTTTATGACACTTTTTAAGGTGTAGGTTAGCTAGACAATTTCTGTGAAACAAAGCGCCTTCTTGATCATTTGCAGTGGTGAAAGACATTGGGATTGCATGGATACTAAATGAGAAGACATAGAATAACAGCAATGACTCCTATTCACCCAGCATGCACATTGGTCGTGGCGCAACAGGGGCGGATCCAGGATTTTCATTGGTGGGATCCTTACATATCAAACTGTCACTGTGACGTCATATGACGTCAAAAAAACTATACACCGGAAAAAGTAGGTGAAAAAGCTTACTGACGTAATTTCATTCTTGCTTCCACGTCGTCGCCCAATTTCTAACAGTATGAGACCAGCGTAGTCAACTCTGGTCTTTGAGAAAGCTCTTTTTCATAAGCGACAAATAAATATCATTTATTTACAAATTATCATGATATTATATGACCACAATAAAACGTTGCTGATTAATGAATAATGATTTAMAAATCAGTTATATTCTTATAGATAAATTAATAATCACAATGATAACTTAATAGCAAAATAAAACGCTATACAGTTGTGTACAAAAAAAAATTTTATACACCGGAAAAAGTTTAGTTCTTTCAATGCAGATCTTTCTGCCTGATTCAGATTATCTTTGGCGACCTTAACATTGTTAGGATTAAAAAGTTCTCGTTTAACAGCGGCCAAGAACGCCTCTATCTCTTGGATGCTTGACTCTGGTGGGTTGCAACTCTGCCGTAGGCCGCCTTACAAATAGGGGAGTTTGTTCTTTTCATAATCCGGCATGCGGACCTATAAAGTAAAATTTTTAAGTAAATTAGTTCAATAAACATGGTATAGTGTGTAAGAACTGGCTGCTAGAATGAGCAGTTTATAACAAAATATCATTTCGCAAATAATTCATAACAACAGAATTTTAACATAGAACAATAACAAAAGAGACTCCCACCCGACCTTTTAAGCTGTGGAGGGCTCGTCCGAAACCCCYAACCCGTAGTTTTTACGCGATATCTCAGTTTCAATAAGTGTGGATTGAACTAGTTTATGCTTAAAAAAGTTCCCAGACAGTGATAATCTTTTGTACCAGACGGGTGCTCGGTCGTAAGGCTTCTCTTTTGTGCGTACTCTCTTAGTTCGCTTGCGACTGATGAGATCCGATCCACCCAACCAGTCTTTGCATTGATGACGTTGCTTTTCTCCAGTTTGTGCGCGAARCCTGTGTTGAAAACATTAACGGAACATACCGACATTCCAAATAACCTACCAACCACTAATAAACCAAACAATAAACCAATTGAAAAACAATCAACTAACTAACCAACTATAATCAACCACCCACCCAACCAACCAACCAYCCAACCAACCAACCAACCACCCATCCAACCAACCTCCAAACCAACCAACCAATAAAACAACAGTTAGCCAATCAAGAAACCAACGGACTCACAAACGAAAAAAAAATACAGATAATTAACTTGCTTTAAACCAAAGTGTCGAACCAAGTCTTTATGTAAGAATCAAGCTTATTTTATGAGATTTTATACGGGAAGATGACYTACTTGYATTGCTGGGTTCCAGTTTGAGTTTYTCTGATTTGGTTAGCTTCAACCTGAAGAACATGTACAGTTTACAACATAAAAAATAAGAAAGTTAATATTCGTGAATATCAAGCTTGGAAATGTCCCAGGACCTTTCGCTTGGGGAGAGGCGTTATAAGGGCCTGGGGACGAGGTTGCAAGTTTCCAGTATAAATGAAACGTGAAAACTAACGTTTATGTTTTGGCCAGTTACATCATTGCCGCTCATATCATGTGCTTCGCGTTCCTTCCGAATTTCATTTTGAGAACCAGCCGCTTCANCTATCAGCTCCCAATAGTTTAACTATGAAATCCGACAAACTAATTACGCAAACACGCTGTTTTGATTTTGCATTTTGGTAGCTTACTACACCACTAGTAAGCATTGAGTAGTAGTAATTGTTTCACAGACGGATGAAAATTGCTCTATTTATCTGTATACAAACGCGTTTAAAAGACTTCCTACCAATATACAGTGAGCTTGACCAAGTTGGTTCGACCCGAGATTGGACTTGACACTGTGATTCTGTGCTTCATAAATAATGTTTATGAAAAAGGAAAAATCAACATCTCTTAAGTGGAACAACGTAAAACGAGGGGACTACCGTATATTTGCTCGAATAAGCGCTTCCCCCGATTTATAGCCTCCCCCGAATAATCGCCCCATTCGATCCAAAATAATTCAAGTGCCTCCCCCCGAATACACGCCCCCTACCATAAAAAAATTGCTGTTAAAAGAAAAGCATACTTTGAGCATTTTGTGAGTATTTCACGCTTTTWAACAAGAACCACTTCGTGGAACATACCGTGTCCAGGTTATGTAATGTTTAAAGTCCTCSAATTCCGACTGGACGGGATTTCAAGTCCGCGCAATTAGTTCCGCGGACTTGAATTCCCGTCCAGTCCGAATTGGAGGATTTTGAACGACTTCTCAGACACTTCTCATACTCATTAATTATTTGGGAGGGGAAAAAAGCGAAGGGAGCGAGTTTAGAATGCCCCATCACTCTGAACGCACCTATGAAACACTGCCAGTGATCTCTATGACTKCTGGGTAATTTTTCCCTTAGACTTTTAAAGAACTAGTAAATTCCTATAAAAAACTGCCACCGCAGTCCGAGATGCCGAAGTGTTCGCTTTGACTGCTGCGTATTTTTTCCTTAGACTTCTAAAGAACGAGTAAATTCCTATGAAACGCTGCCACCGCGGTCCGCGGTGTCGCAGTGCTGGCTATGACTGCTGGGTAACTTTTCCCATAGACTTTTAAAGAACTAGTAAATTCCTATGAAACACTGCCACCGCGGTGTCGCAGTGCTGGCTATGACTTCTGGGTATTTTTCCCTTAGACTTTTAAATAGCTAATAAATTCANGGAGAGGCGTTATAAGGGCCTGGGGACGAGGTTGCAAGTTTCCAGTATAAATGAAACGTGAAAACTAACGTTTATGTTTTGGCCAGTTACATCATTGCCGCTCATATCATGTGCTTCGCGTTCCTTCCGAATTTCATTTTGAGAACCAGCCGCTTCACGGTTCAAAGCAGTGGACGTTTCCTCGTTTTCATAAGATTGTTTGCTCTTCTTCTGCCTCTTAGCAAACCTTATGACACTATGAGGGATTCCCTTTATTGCGTTATGAGTTCGATGTTCTCTAAACTGGAGTGAACTTGAATAAGGYATCCACTTGTTACCATAAACTCGCGGTACAACGGGTTGACCAYACCCGAGAAAAACGACTTTGTGTCCGTCGTCAGGGAAACGATTGTCACGGTGACGGCCAGTTCGTCGGTAAACAAACATGACTTTYAACTACAAGATGATAAAATGGATTTCATAACTTTAAAGAGGGCATGTCAACAAATATCAAACATTTGGCGGCCACGGGTGAAAAATCGATTTAGCTGAATTTTTGTCCAAACAAACTTTAATATGTACCTATAAACGCTATATAGTTTTTTAAGGAAAATAGTTTTTTGTTTTTGAGAAAATAGCGGTATAAGTCGATCGCCCGAAATTGCCCGTTTTCACGCTAAAACGAGTCTTGACTTTATAAACGAAAATTCACTACAAAAAGGTCTTAAAATCGAATTATTCTTTGCACATCCTGTTTAGTATCTTTTAAATGTCCTCTAGCGTGACAATCACGTAATTTGAGGCACTTTTTCAAGACGAGCTACTCAATCCAAAACAACACATGTTTGTACGATAGTTTCAAGTACCTCAATTCATAGTCAATTTTCACCATGCGATAAAGCTTTGAATCCAATAATTTTTTGCTTGTACAATAATAAAAGAACAGGCTTTCYAACGATGTAAAAATATCTCTGGGGAAATAAATAGTAGCTGAGCTACAGTCCGTCAAAAACCTCAATTTTTGACCTTGAAGGTCAATCGCCGTAAATCAAAACACCGAGAAATCTTAAAAAATCCGAAAAAAGTTTATTGCATATATCAACTACTTTCTTCTTGAAATGTTAGAAATCATTCAACAAATGTTGTAATTTACCTTTCTGAAGGCGCTGCTTGCTCCACAATGTGTAATCTTTTAGATTTGCCACATATTGTAACCGGACTGTCCATGCCAGAGAGCTTTATAATGCAACAAGTTGCAAGTTAGCCCGTGTTTATCATGCCAAGTTCAAATACTCTTGTATTTTATGATCTTAGATGAGTCATTGGTTATTCTGGCTGTTATTTTTTGTTTACAGGTGATCTGATCGATTTTCCGTTCAAAGTTATCATAACTCTGTGCAAAAAAACCTACTCACTAGGGTAGGGACGGGCAGTATTTCTTAAACCACAGCCTTACGTACGCTAGAAAAATATTTCAGTCAAAGATAATTCAAAGTATAGGCTTTGCAAGAACTCATTAATGAAAGAGATTAGCCAAGAAAAACAGAAAAAATGTATAGAATACGGGCCTGGGTGGCCGCGATTAAGATCTCTTTTAGTTGCAATAGCCTGTCATATGAGTTTTTCTGGTCYAGAAAATGAAATTGATCTCATTTTGTCTCGAGTTGGTTTGTATTGCACCTCAGACGATAAAGTTAACTCCATGACTATTTGTCCTCGCCATCGTGCTTCACTTGGAATCAGCTGGACAAGAGGTGGTGGAACAAGATGCAGAGTTCCCCATCAAATATCAGGCCACGGAAAAAACAAAAGGTATTGGCCAAAGGGTGAACGGGGTTTGGTAAATAAGTTCTCTTTATTTGTATGTTTGTTTTTTTCTTCTTATTGTTTCAGATCAATAGTGTGATTTGAGTCTTTGAGCCCTCATCCGCACGGGAATGATTTTTTTGTTCTAGCGAAATTATTATTGAACATGGTGGGGYTGTCCCCGTCTCAACGTTCAAAACAGGAAGACCGAATAGTGATAAGAAGAATAACATAAGATCACATAAGAGTTGCTAGGCCACGTTTTCAGCGCTAAAATAGTAATCTGTCAGTCTTGTTTGTTAACGAAATGTGATATGATCGAGTTAGTCTTTAACAACAATTTTTAGATTTATTCTGGTATAGGGTCTACAATTTGTACCTTTAGTCTGGGGTAGGGTATGCAAAATCCTAAAAAATTGGTCTGGGATAGGGTAAGGGTTCTGAGGGTGGTGCGGTGAGGCTGGGAGGCAATCTTTGGGTGTGCCTGTCACAGGAGGGAAACCCGCACATATTGGCAGACGTCTTGCTGGTAATAGTAAACGGAATATGGTGTTTCTGGTTTGGAAATTGTTACTGTTGGAGGCGACTGGTATGTCTCACTGATTGTTGTATTATCTCTAACGACTATGTCATCATCATTCTGTTGAAAATAAAATGCCGCAATTAAAGTATATATTTTTATGTATGCGATACTTGGCGAGTTGTTTCAATGACTTGAATACTCCTTGGATAATTTGCTTCGAAAGGGATAGAAACAAAGGATTGCATCGTTTTCTATAGCTACTCTAAAAAATCAATTACAATTTTTTCCCTTCAAAAACGACTGCCAATATGTGCGGTTGATGGACCAGAAAAACTCAAGTGTTTTGAGATATCCTTACTGCAAGAATGCAATGGCACAATCTTCGTCCTAGCTGTTTTCGATCTTTTGAATCAAACCCGCAACTACTTCCTACTATACTTTTAAAAGAACAATAAGCATCCATATTGTTTTAATGTTTACAACTATTGAAGCCAGATACCAAAATGTTTTGCGTCACACTATCACATGACACTCTATTTAACTAAGAGATCTTAATCGCGGCCACCAAAGCTCGTATTCTATACATTTTTTCTGTTTTTCTTGGCTAATCTCTTTCATTATTAATGAGTTCTTGCAAAGCCTATACTTTGAATTATCTTTGGCTGAAATATTTTTCTAGCGTACGTAAGGCTGTGGTTTAAGAAATACTGCCCGTCCCTACCCTAGTGAGTAGGTTTTTTTGCACAGAGTTATGATAACTTTGAACGGAAAATCGATCAGATCACCTGTAAACAAAAAATAACAGCCAGAATAACCAATGACTCATCTAAGATCATAAAATACAAGAGTATTTGAACTTGGCATGATAAACACGGGCTAACTTGCAACTTGTTGCATTATAAAGCTCTCTGGCATGGACAGTCCGGTTACAATATGTGGCAAATCTAAAAGATTACACATTGTGGAGCAAGCAGCGCCTTCAGAAAGGTAAATTACAACATTTGTTGAATGATTTCTAACATTTCAAGAAGAAAGTAGTTGATATATGCAATAAACTTTTTTCGGATTTTTTAAGATTTCTCGGTGTTTTGATTTACGGCGATTGACCTTCAAGGTCAAAAATTGAGGTTTTTGACGGACTGTAGCTCAGCTACTATTTATTTCCCCAGAGATATTTTTACATCGTTGGAAAGCCTGTTCTTTTATTATT